TATCATGGAATGGCGCCCGACATGTTGTGGTGTTTTTGGTGTCCATTTTGAGAGAAGGCGCACTCGAATAACAGCCAACAAAGGCATTTTGTAACAAATAGCTGCCACTTTAATATCTCAAACGTTTGTATAATTCAAATCGTGTGCGTTCTGTTAACCATTTACGTGATGCCACGTGTCTTGGTTTTAATGGCTATAGGAGGTGCTGTGCGGCCAGCTTCTTGACTAAATACGAGGCGTGCGAGCGTAGTCCGGTGCACACGCTAGCCGAGAGGCTCACCGAAAAGCGTGCGAGTTGTTCAACGCAGGATTTGTGCATCTCTTCAATGCAAATGGTGCAAATTGAATACGGTATGCAAATTAAAGCCAGACTTCGGCGCTCAGCCAAGAGACACTGCGATTTGTCAAAATATGCAGCTAAAAATCACTAGCACTATCTAATTTTTGCAACTAAAATCACTATACCACTATCTAATTCATGCGCGTGTTCACTACGAACTCACCGTATGGGGCGTGATAGTAGATGTGTGAAATGACGGTAGGCGTGCCAGCAGTCCGCCGTGCGGGCTCACCGGGAGGCGAGCCAGCCCTTTGACCGCCGCTCACCTTGCTCCCACTCCTCCATATTAATGGCGCGTCCGCCTCGCTCCGTGAAATGATGGTATAGGAATGCCAAAAGTCCGCCATGTAGGCTCACCGCGAAGCGTAACAACCTTTGACTACCTCCCACCTCGCTCCCACTGGTCTGTATTAATGGCGCGCCCGAGCGCCCGCACCCCCCATCCTCGCCAGACACACAATCCTCTCTCTCCGCCCGCATCCTCGACGCCACTCTCAATCCTCAAAGTGCACCGGAGCACGACGTGAATATGGAGACAGCGGTTTCCGTCGTCGCTGACGAGGTGGAGAACGAGGCTGCCAACAAGCGGAGACGGGTCGAGAAAGAACCGCAAGCGACTCCAACAGGCCTAGACTTCATCAGCAACCTCCCCGATGATATGTCGAGAGTCATCATATCCCTCCTCCCAATCAAATATGGGGCGAGGACAGCCGCCCATTACCGGCGGTGGCGCCCCCTATGGCTCCTCACCCCTGTCGACCTCCTCGACACCCATGAGCTCTGCCATGGCTATCGCAAAAGCTTGGATGCGTTCTCCCAGATCCTCGGCAGTCACCATGGCCCAATCAGAGGCCTTATCATGGGCAAGTTCCGTTCCAATGGCAAGGACCGAGCCAAGCTTGACGAGTGGTTCCGATCCCCTGCCATAGATCAGCTCAAGAAGCTCAGTTTTAATGATGGGCATATGCGCTCGCTGCCAACTTTCGCGCTCCGCTTCGCGCCCATGCCGCGCCTCGCCAAGTTCATGAACTGCCATTCCCTACCCCCCTTAATTATGTGCCCGCTCTTTTTCTAACAGGACTGAAGCACCTCGAGCTCGTCGCCATCCGCATCCCAAAGGATGACATGGAGCGCCTGCTCTGCGGCTGTACTGCACTCGAGTTCCTTCGTCTTCAGGCGATGAATTGGCCGAGTACCTTCCACATCACCTCCAGGACTCTTCGGACTATTTATGTGTGTTGCTGGTGCTACAACAAGAGATCATAAAAGGTGGACCACAATATGGTCATTGAGGACACACCTTCGCTTGAGAGATTACTTGTAGTTGATCAACAAGGTCCAACAAGAATCAATGTCATTTCTGCGCCGAAATTGGCAGTGGTGGGCTACCCGTCTGTCAAATACTACTACTTTCAGGTACAACAGTCGCCTTATACCTCTCTTTCTTGATAACAACATTATTTCTAGTTTTGAAGATGTATGTGCACGTGTCATCCAGCAAAGCTTCACCCAGATTCTGGGCACAGTGAAGGTCTTGGCACTAGAATCTGTCGGCCCCAACCTGGACCAAGTTGTCAGTTGCCTGAGATGCTTTCCATGTCTGAAGAAGTTGTATATCGAGGTGATGTTCCTTTCATGTTAAATGTTAACCATAAGGGAGCTCTATTGTCATGAGTTGCACAGTGCCAATCCAATCACAACTTCAAAACGGAAAATGGGTAGTAACATACTACTACCATGAGTGCGCCCGTGCGTAGTTTAATTAGTTAGGGACAGAGCTTCTTTAAATTTTGGTAACAGCGGATGACTGGCCTACCGCGCGCACTTTTAGTCCAACAGTGAAGGCGTTCAGCTTGTCCCCGACACGTATTATTTTATGCAAAGTGTAGCTTTAGCCCTAGCTTAATTAGCTCCAGAGTCGAGCCCCACTCCCGCCACCATCCACTAATCATCAGTTGGCACCAGCATTTGTATTAAATAAACTACATGATCTGCTACTAATGATTTGTGTTAGTAATATATATACACGACCAGTCAATGGATGAGAGGGCCGGTTTCGGGTGCATGGAAAATGCCATAAGAGCGACTCAAATAGGGTTCCTGCTTTCATGTAGATTTTTTTTAAGAGTTGCTTTCATGTAGCTAGTTCTATGCGGCGATTAATTCGATCTTCTGCATTTTGCTATATCTATTTTCCTGCAGTCCTTTCAATCAAGGACATTTTTATTAACTTAATGTACTCCTTCCGCCCGAAAATACCTGTCAAAGAAATAAACGTATCTAAACGTATTTTAGTCCTAGATACATCCATTTTTTATCTACTTTTCCAACAAGCATTTCCAGACGGAGGGGGTAACATCAAGCAAATACTCCCTCAGTTCCTAAATATTTGTCTTTCTAGACATTCCAAACGGACTACAATATACAGACGTATGTAGACATATTTGAGAGTGTAGATTCACTCATTCTGCTTCGTATGTAGTCACTTGTTAAAATCTCTAGAAAGACAAATATTTAGGAACGAATGGAGTACAAAGCATGACGATCGGCGCCCAGCATGCCATACAATCTTGCTAGTAAGGCAGAAATGATGAGTTATTCAGTAATGTTGAATATGTACTGCAAAGATCATCAGTTCTCACCACTACAATTTAGTTGTACCACTAGAATTTACTCCCTCTGTTCCTAAATATTTGTCTTTCTAGATATTTTAACAAGTGATTACATAAGGAGCAAAATGAATGAATCTAAACTTTAAAATATGTCTATATACATCCGCATGTGATAGTCTATTTGAAATTTCTAGAAAGACAAATATAGGTTCCCCGCAAAAAAAAGACAAATATTTAGAAACGGAGTGAGTAGTTGCCAACTGGTGTACTATATACTACTCCTTCCATCCCATATTAGTTCTCGCTCAAACATACTACTCCGTTCGTCCATATTAGTTGTCGCTCAACCAAATGTATCTAGCACAACTAAGGTACTCCTTCTGTCTAGGTGAGTAAGTCATCTTAGGTTGTGCACCGTGATCAAGGAGGAGGAAAAAACAAGAGACCTTAATGTTTATTTGCTAAGTAATATCATTGCATGCAATAAACTAACCAATGGATGTCGTGTTTGGTAGTCTCAACTCATTAAAAGTATGCACACCTCTCATCTTTTATTGATTGATATGTCAAAAAACAAGAAACGAGGTAAAAATTAATGCACCGCGCCTAAGTGTTTTGGAATTATTTGGTTTTCATAAAATGACTTACACATAGACGGAGGGAGTAGTATGTCATCTATCGATCGGTTGCTGAGGTTTAAGAAAGTTGTAGTACGTGCTAATCAACCAGCTGCTGCTACAGCATTTTGCAAAGAAGAATTGAGTTGGTTTACTGTGGCTGCTGGGTTGGGTTGTATGGATGCGTGGTCCAACTCCAACGATGTTCAAGGGGACCAAATGCTTTCCCTCACCAACCAACTTAAATGGCCCTGGTTAGTACGTCCAAATACATGCCCAAAAGTTGTCCAAAGTTGTCATCATCCAGACAATTAATCAACCGGATTAAGCGCAGGCCCGTTACCAGTAAGCATGCGTGCGTGCATGCATGCATGCAAATACGAACCATGCAAAAGGAAGAGAAAAAGAAGCACCATGACAGCCAGAAATTGGACGCGCGTACGTACCCATCATCTGACTGTGCACCAAACTTGCACTTACTTAAAACCCTGTGATTGGATTAGAATATGCATGGCATGGCGACCAGTCTTTGATGAGTCTTGGTACGGCTTCGGCGACTAGGCTGTACGTGTTGCTTTATGCATGCGCATGATGGCCAATTGATGGCCAAGTTTGGAGAAAGTTTGATCCAAGTTGCCTTTTTTGGCTTGTTTTTTGAACGACCGACCCATAGCTGTCTCGTCTTTGTGGGACTTTGTAAACCGCACGAGATTATTGTCCCACCAACGCCAGCATTAAGCTTTCTTGATTGGGGTTTTGTTACTTTTGGCCCAGGAAGAGATTCAGCTATGCTCACATCAAGTCTGCCTTGAAATTCTACTACCAGCTACTTTGTGAAAGAAGACGAAGCACTGCATCTTGATTTTCTCCTGTCAATGACATCTTATCTGTAGCAGTTTTGTCGGCTGGTGAAAATGCCTTCAACTACCAGCCAAGAATAATAATATCTACTACTCAAACCAGAAATTTAAAAATAATGTATTGATCCCAGAGGGAAATGAGCTTGCATGCACTTTATACACAGATGGAAATGTACGTGGATGCATTGATCCCTACATCTTATAGTATATCTTATTGAAAGAAGAGAGGAAAAGGGAAAATGATTAATAAGAAGAATAAAAGAAGCTACCACGCCAATCATTAGGGAAATTGGTTAATAGCCCCAAAACAGCATCATTCTTGGGCGCGCGGTAATTGCAAAGCTACTCCCCGAATTACCACGAACGCCTCAAGGTTAAATAAATCTCCACACACACACACACAGCTTAATTACTCACTTCGCCGCTCGATAAGCGTTTTATATTACAACTCTACCCCTAGCTGAAAGAAATGATTACCAAATTGCCCCCCTATGGAAGCCAGGCCACCAACTCTGGCGAGCTTGGTGCCAGCTGCGGATGATGTGGGCGGTTGGCCGGCCGGCCGGTCGGGTCAACACGCGTAGTACTCGACGAGCTCGTCCAGCGACTCGGGCTGCGGGTCCGCGTTCTCCAGCATCCAGAGGAGGTGCTCGAACAGCACCACCTCGCAGCCGATGATGGTGCCGCCGGCGCCGTCGCCGCCCACGCCGCCACCCGAGCGGTCCACGAGGTTCTGGAACAGCGGGTGGCAGACGAGGTCGGCGGCGATGAGGTAGCGGCGGCGCGACTTGCCGACGTAGACCGGGTGGAGGCCCGGGGGCACGCCGTCCGCGCCGTGGAACGAGGCCGCCCCGCCCCCGCCGCCGCCGCCGACGCCGCGGCCCCACGGGTCCTCCTCCTCGCCGCCGTGTGACACCGCCGAGGGCGTGCGCGAGATCCGGCTCGATGAGTGCCACCGCCTGATCATGCACTTGAGCTTGCTGCTCAGCCCGCCCTTGGCCATTGAAAGCAGAGGATGGATGGTCTTGGTGTTCAGCTGGAAAGAGAGAGGAGGCGTAGGGATGACTTGCAGGGTCGGGGAGGTGGCGAGAGGTTATATAGGGGGAGGAGGAGAGGCCGGCTGTGGACTGGCGGGATGGAGACCGGTGGGAGGGCGAGGGTCAAGGTGTCGGGGACGGTGCATGGCATGGCCATGGTGATTGATGGTAAAACCGAACCTGCAGGAGAGGAGAGGAGAACAGTGGGGAGGCAACTGGCCGCCGCCCCGTCCGGAAGTGGTGATGCTCCGTATGTGACGGTGCGAGGTATCTGTCCGTCCGTCCGTCTCTTTCTCTCCGGTTGGCATGCAGCACGGCAGCGCAGGCCCGACTGTGAATTTGCAAGGACCGTGACATGCCGGTCGTCAGGTAGTAGGCCGAGCTGGTATATGTCACATTTAGATTTAAGCCATATATGCTCGTCACCGGCCACTTGGACGAGGCCACAAAAATGGCTGTAGAACTTGTCCGTGAGTAGAAGTGCATCAGCGGATTGGGGCACGCAAGTGCGGGTACCGAGTCCCTCGCACGTGCTTTTTTTTTCGGCTTTTGATTTTCAATCTTTCATATCTTTTGAATAAAAGTTTGAATTAAATTTTATTTTTCATATTTTCTCCGTCTGAAAATACTTGTCATTGAAATGAATGTATCTAGATGTATTTTAATTTTAAATACATCCATTTTCATCCATTTATGCGACAAGTATTTTTGACATAGGGAGTATTGATGTTTTTAATGATGAGACCTTTCAAATAAGATCTGTTTTAAACATTTTTAAGTTTCAACTCTTGAAACTTAGTACGAGCGGCCGGTTAAATAACGACTTTTATGCCTGTGACTAATAAAAAAATCTTAAAAATTTATCTACGAAACTTGATAAGAGCGAGCAAGAATTGCAAGTTTCAGTTGAAATATCATAAGTTTTAACAACTGAAACTTAAAGTTACTATGCCCCTACGGTGCTTGGCAGGTACTCCCGCCCATTCAAAAAACGAAATTCCTCTGCGTACGACTAATTACATCCGATTTGCATACGGTATGATGATCCTACGTCTCTTTTTAAAGGAGTGTCTCGATCCTAGGGTGACTGACTAATGTCGTACAACATCGGATAAAAAGTTGTCGTACATATAGCACTGCTCATTCAAAAAAGTTTGTTCTAAACTTGTTTCTTAAATGAATGTATCTAGCATTAAGGGACAAACTTTTTCGGAGGGAGTCTGTGCCGCCGCACCCGCATGCCGGTGCGAATTTCCTAGTGGAAAGCTACAGCCTATCGAGGAGTAGAACGCAAAGCTACCTCAACCATCTCCGTTCCAGGATCGCATGATTTTGCTCCTCGTCCGTAATGTAATACTACTACTACTCTTTTCCTTATGTTGCTCCCTTGTCGAGTCAGGCAGACGTGGCATTGGCCACAGATTGCGCTTGCTCTTTTTGCAGCCCAGCTGTGCAAAAGCACCTCACCGCTATACGTGTCACACTTAGCAAAGGTCATTGGTTAGTTAGGGTCTGAACCCCAAAGAGATTCTTGCCCGTTCTCTTCTTCTGTATATAAACGAGCCAACCACCTGTGTTAGCATCAGATAAACAATTCTCATTAATCAATCAATTGAAAGGAAAGTTTGTAGGTAATTAAGACGGGACTTTTGCAACTTGGAGCTGAGTTTGTGGTTCATTTACCTATGTATCATCACAAGACAATTAAACACCTTTTCTTTCTTGGCACTTCTGCACATTCTATAGTCAGTCATCTGTACTTGTCTCATAGTGTAATCTAATACTCCCTCCGTTTCAAAATAGATGACCCAACTTTGAGTCATCTATTTTGAAAAAGTGTCAATCACTGTTTTTTTGCCATCAGCATTATCCATGAGAATATGACTATATATAGTTTCTTAATATTGAAAAAGAAACAAAACTCCTGCTCGTGAGTTCTCTCTCTTCCTCTCTGTTTCACACACACAAACCTAGACGTCAATCACCACTAACCCTCCGGTCGTCTCACCCCACCCTAGCCCCCTCTCCCCGCTCCCATATGCCCCCTCCCCGAGGAGGTGGCGTGGACCCCACCCTCGCCCATGCCACATGCGGTTCAATTCTACCCCGTCACTGCCACCACCTGTCTAGGTGGCGGTGGTCCCTTACCAGTAGGAAGGCGAGGTCTTCTTTCAAATGAGTATAGTTGTGTTTGGTCGTTGTCTTTTGGGATGGTTGCAACCAACAGGCATGCAGCTGCGACGCTCCAGATGTGTGGATGACATGGTGTCCCTTGGCTTACGCTCCATTGATGTTTTGCAAGTGCATGTGGCTAGTTTATAAACACGATTCGCGAGAACTATTGTAACCCAGTTTACATGTCAAATCCAAAGAAGTCAAAGGAAGGCAACTATCAGCCTCGCAACTATGTTGTGACGTACACAACTACGCCTGCACTCAAAGCGTAATTCGAAAATAGTCTATGTATTAGTTGCTAGGTGAACTAGAACATGAAGTAAATAATAAGACAAATGGTGAAGTAAACTATGGAGGTGAAGCGTTTAATTGGCAAGAGGGGGTGAATGGGAGGTTTTTATCAAATTCTTTGAAAGAAGCTATTTTGTCGAAGAATCGGCAAGGTAGGTGGCATTGAAGAAATACTTGCTGAATTGAAATAGGCAAAGCATGCGACCAACAGTCGTAGATGACAGAAATAGAAGAGCACGCGCACACACTCGCTTGCCTCGCCTGGCCGGGCTCAGACACGGGTCGGGGCCGGGTGGCACACATGTGACATGCACGTTAATCATTCTTACACATTCATTGCACTTGTAGGTGTTCATCACTTTATTTGTTTATTGGCATTTGCTTTGGTTCATTTCTTTTGTGTGTTGAAAACATTTCACAAATCCAAAAATATTTCTTGCTTCTTTTCAGTTTTCTTTCTCGTTTAGTTAGTTCATAGTAGTAAAAGAAAACCTAAAAAGATTTCTTATTTCTTCTTTTGTTGTTTGTTGGGAGTGATGGAGAATGAAACATGAAAAGCAAAAAAAAATATCATACGAACACCCAAGATCTAATCTAGGAGATGCATAGCTATGAGAGGGGAGTGTGTCTACATACCCTTGGAGACCGAAAGAGGAAGCTTATATAACACGTTTGATGTAGTCGTACACTTCGCAATCTAATCACGATCCAACCGATTTAGCGCTGAACGGATGACACCTCCGAGTTTAGTATATGTGCGGCTCGGTGACGTCTCCTCCTCCTTGATCCAACAAGCGTAGGGGAGAAGTAGATGGAACCACAATCAACACGATGGCATGATGGTGGTGGAGCAACGACACTGCTTCGCTAAGCAAAACCGGGACGAGGAGCTGGAGGGAGAGGGAGGGGCTGTGGTCAGGTGAAGGTATGAGGAACCCTCCTTGCACCTCCACTATATATAGATGCGTTGGGAGGGCTGACCAGCCCTAGCCCCTCCTCCAAGGAGGTGAGGCTGGCGGCTAGGGGAGGGCACTTGCCCTCAAGGCAAGTGGCCCTCCTCCCCATTAAGGTTTCCCCTTCCCTTGGCGCATGGGCCTTGTGGGGTTGGTTCCCTTGGCCCAATAAGGCCAAGGTGCATCCCCTAATGCCAATGTATGCCCTAGGGGCTGGTGGAACCCTTCTGTGGACTTCCAGAACCCTCTGGAACCTTCCGGTGACTTCCCGCTACATTACCGAAAAAACCAAAATCTTTCCCGGAACCCCGACAACAACTTTTCATATATAAATCTTTACCTCCAAACCATTCCGGAGCACCTCGTGATGTCAGGGACTCTGAACAACAGTTGGTCACCAATACAAATACCCCAATTCTACTCTAGCATCATCTAACATCACTACAAAAAAATACACTTCCGTGATGATACGTGTTTGTCACAGTAGGTCACATTTTCTGTCATGCATGTACATCAATGACGATTTTGTGACAGAATCAAGAGAGTCATACATGTGCTATCGTAAAAGTGTTCCATGACATTACCAAAATTATCATCACGGAAGTGTCCACTTCCATGACGATAAATCACGCGTCACAGAAGTGCTTTCGTCAAGGGTGACGGACACGTGGCATCCACCGTAATGGAACGCCGTTAAGCTATCGGGTCCGGTTTTGGATCCGATAACCCGTTAACAGCCCAGACCAATGGGGATATTCCACGTGTAAAATCATCATTGGCCGGAGGAAACTCGTGTTGCCTCACCGTTGGGACAGATGTCATCCAATCACTGGACAGGAGGCGCTTATGATAGGTCGACACATGGCACGGCCCAACAGTGGCCCATTCCGGTGAAAAAGGCAGGCCCATATAAGGCCTACTTGTGTCAGGTCCATTTAAGCCCACGACCCATACGAGATGTGCCAATTTGGCCCGTCAATGGCCCGTTAAAGATTTGACACCATTGTAGCCCATCGTCAGTTCGAGCCCGTTAACATCCCGCTATATATTTGGGCTCAATATCGGCCCGATGTGATTTCGGCCTATTAACGGCCCATTCAAGGGATGGGCCAATTTTCAGGATGTACATCTTTCGGCCTTTTAGCGACCCATTTAAGTGTTGGGCTAATTTCTGGCCTGGTGTGTCTTTCAGCCTGTTGGCAGCCCATAAATCAGTTGGGCCATTTGTAGTCGGACCTGAGTTTTGGCCTTTTAGCGACCCATTTAAGTGTTGGGCCAATTCCCGGCCCTGTGTGTCTTTCAGCCTGTTGACGACCCATAAATGAGTTAGGCCATTTGTAGTCGGACCTGAGTTTTGGGCTTTTAACGACCCATGCCCTTCATGGTCCAATACCAGCCTGGTTTCTCTTTCGGCCTACTAAAGGCCCACAACACAGTTGGACCATTTACAATACGACCTGACTTTCGGCCTCTTAGAGGCCCATGCTCTTCATGGTCCAGTACCAGCCCGCTGTCTCTTTCGGCCTGCTAAAGGCCCATAGTATAAT